CTGGAGGACATAGGGACCACTTTACATCATTCTTATTTATTCTGTTTCTATTCTTCAACTTTTCATTTGTTTTCTACATTATATTAGCTTAATCTGACCTCTAGCTCTGTTTGGCTGTGACACCATCCTGGAGGAAGGCCTCAGCTGGTCTGCTACAAGAAAAAAACTTCCATTATAAATGATAGAGTTAGACTTGTTTTCCAATTTATTAGCCCTGTTTCTTTCCTAGACATGACAGCTTTCCAAAATAGAGATCAATAGAGAGTACATGTGTGGCAAAGTCCATTTTCATTTGCCTTTCCTTCTATGTGTACATTGTAACTACTTAGCTTATTTGAGTTTTCATAGGTTTAGTCCACAGTGTTGACTGAAATATGTTTGACTTGATGTTAAATAGTTTTAATTATCATATTTTGAGTGGAACATCTTGTGAATGTATTCCACGTGTGTGCAGAGTGCACAGTTTGACCACGATTTGTGCCTGAAATACACATTAAATCGTTCTCCTAACACACAGCTAGCTGGGCATGTTTAGAGTTTTTGTGCCACAAAACCCAGACTCCTTTCAAAATGACCTCTTGACCACCCTGCTGAACTCTATGTTTTGTGCCCAATTCCCTCCGTTTCTCTACCAAACATTGTTCAGGTTGTTATAATTTTTTTTAATCATTTTTTTTTTAAACCTGTTTAATCATCCTTCAAACCCACACCCTCTCATAAGCTACACAAGCTTTTCAAATCTTCTCAGTTGCGCAATCATGGCTAAGGGTTTACAGGCAGTGTTCAGTTTAAAGCCCTTCCTTGTTCCCGCCCCATCGAGTTTACAAGCATAATGATAGGTGGAACCATTGACACTCCCTGCACAAAATTGGTCAAATCCAGAATATATAATGCAGAGGAAAACACAGCAAGTTTCACCAAGAGCTAAAATGGAGCAGGGAGCAGTTCAACTAAATAAAGTTAACATTTCCTGTTCCATCTGTTTGGATCTACTGAAGAATCCAGTGACTATTCCCTGTGGACACAGCTACTGTATGAACTGCATTAAAGCCTCATGGGATACTAATAGTCAAAGGAGGATCTACAGCTGCCCTCAGTGCAGGAAGATCTTCACACGAAAGCCTGTGCTGAAAAAAAATATCATGTTAGCAGAGTTGGTGGAGGATCTGAAGAAGACAAGACTCCAAGCTGCTCCAGCTGATCACTGCTATGCTGGACCTGAAGATGTGGCCTGTGATGTCTGCACTGGAAGGAAAAGGAAAGCTATCAAGTCCTGTTTATTCTGCCCTGCCTCATATTGTAGAGATCACCTCCAACCTCACTATGATGCTTCACCATTAAAAAAGCACAAGCTGGTGGACCCCTCCAAGAATCTCCAGGAGAACATCTGCTCTCGTCATGATGAGGTGATGAAGATCTTCTGTCGTACTGATCAGCAGTGTATCTGTTAT